CGAAGAAGGCACAAAGTCATTAGGACTACGCACAGGATAACGAGGACCGGACATGAGCTGGGAAAGGGAGGGATATCCATCGACTCACACCATCGGGGTTCGAACCCCCAGCCCTGGAAAAAAGCGAGGCTGCAGTTGTTGTTGATTTAGGGGCGACAACGATCGTGGGATCGGCTGCGCCCCGGCGTACCGGTGATAGTTTAATCGCAAAGCCTGGAAAGGTGAAACGCCAAACCTAATCGCGAAACGAGTGACGCCAATCACTTGAAACTATTATGCCTCGTGGCAAAGAAACGCAAACGGGTAGATGATTGGGGAGTCCCAGGAGTCCCTCAGGGTGACAAACGCCGGCCCCGCCCCCCACAGAGAACACCAGGTAGCAAACCCAAAAACTCGGCCACCAACTAAAACGCAAAAAGTCATCCATTGTCCTCCGGCAGATCAGAAGCCGGCCGCCCACCACGACTGAGGGCACACCAGGAGCCCACCAAGACCCACCAACCCCCGGCACCTCTCGGCCATGCCGGCCCCCGAACACCGTCACCCCGCCGGGAGAACCAGCCACAACACGTCAAAAAAAATCTATCAACAATCCCGTGACCCAAGGCGATATGTGCGCCAGGCGTCGTACAACCGGACCGTTGAAGAGGGATGACAAACGGCAGTAGCAAAGCCAAAACGCGAAAACAGGACGTGAATCGGCGGCTCCCAGGCGGAGGAAGTGTCCAGACGTCCGCTTGGCGTCAAGGTTGAACCAGGAGTCCAGCAAGGCTGTCGCTCTACCGACCAGGAGCCAGATTCACGAAGCAGTTACGCAAGTACTTACGAACGTGTACATCTTTCCTCAATCTTTGATTTCTTTGGTTACATTTATTAAACAGTTTACAAGCATGAAAACTTGCCAATCAACTGTTGTTATTTTTATAAACAGCCTCTTGGTGCTTCGGAGCTCATTAACAGTTTAATAATTTTAAACAAAGCCGCCAAAGATTGAGAAAAGATGTACAGGTTCGTAAGTGCTTGCGTAACTGCTTCGTGAATCTGGCCCCAGGCGAATTAGATGGACCGTGTCTTGCCTTTTCGGTTCTTCCGTTTTCTTTCACTGGTCAATGGCGGGAAAGAATGTCGCCAGAGTGGAGCCAACTACCACCAATATAAACCCTTCTGGCTCGCCCTCTATCTCCCTCGTTCACTTTATCACGCCTAAACCACAAGATAAACCTCTATCGCTTTATCGTGAATAAATCTGAATAGAAAATAGCTATCGACTGAGTCTTGGGCTGGTGCCGATAGCATTGTTATCGCTCAGTTTTATGGTCAGCGTCAGAGAAAACACTTCCATTACAGGAGAGACTTGTACATTGTCTTCTGTCTTGGTGCCTTCCTGATGAAGAATGTCACGGCCTCCTCCGCTCTCCCAAAACACAAAATACAGGTTCCATGAGAAAATTTGTTTAACCAGGGCGATGGAATCGAACCGGGGTCACCCCAGAGGCGGGTTGAGTCACACCACCGTGCTCTGAAGATGTTCTCACAGATATAGTTTGGTAATGTGTTTCCATTTTGTATATGTCTCAAGTTGTAGAATACAACTAAAGAATACAGAATAATGGGTACAGAGAGCCACATTAGGCTACAGTTACAGAGCTCAAAAGAGTCATTTAAGCTCTGTCGACAGAATTTAGAGTGCGCAATAAAGTCTACGGTGGAATGGTGTAGCATTTCACTAACAAATCTTGTCTAACCCGTAAGAAATTCACAACTCAGCTTCCTCAAATGATAGTACTTATAGTGACTATTTGGTTAAAAGTACCAATATGTAGTGATGGATTGCTAGTAAACCACTTGTTGTACCTTTAACTCACTCCTTGTGGCATACACATATAAATATAATAACTATTTTCATTGTCCTTAAACAGAAATCTAACATTACCTCTTACGTGTTAATTTTTCGACCGTTTGAGTCCATAATCAAGAAGTTGTTCCCCTTCCTTAACTTCAGTCACAATAATAATCCATGCGTCAGTAAATATTAATCCATGCGTCAGTAAATATTAATCCATGCGTCAGTAAATATTAATCCATGCGTCAGTAAATAAAGAACAATCTTGGAATAACATCATAACATTAACAGCAAAATATGTTGTTTACACGCACACGCGGGGGACTGTTAAACACTCCGTCCACAGCGCCAATATCCCGATATGGATAGAACAGTGACGGAAGCTCCTGAGCAAGATGTAAACAAAGCGACGCCATCTTGAACTTCAACGTCAGGCCACAAAGTGACGCCATCTTGAACCTCAACGTCAGGCCACAGAGCGACGCCATCTTGAACTTCAACGTCAGGCCACGAAGCACCAACATTAATATTCAGTGCTGTAATTACTGTAATACATATAAACAAATCCCTTGTATTCTAAGCATAAAAAGAATGAGTAAATTATTCAAATGAGTAAATGCAACTATCAAGAATCATTCGAGTGGATGCACTTAAGAAGGGAAGCAAGAGCACCGGCATAATGGAAAGCATCGTCATAACAACTTAACTACAACACCAAGAAATCCAATCTAACATTATAACCTCTTAGAATAACTTAATCCCCTATAACCTCCACTCTTACACCTCACTCCTCGCTAACTGCTGATCTGACGGTATTAAGCGTTCTCTCGGTAGTTATTGGTCTACGGTTAGCGCTACGCTGGTATATTGTGGAGTGTGTATTGGTGGTGGAAAGCAGCCAATAAATGGGCTTGGAATCCTCCTGCCTATGTACCCGTCAAGAGGAGGAGAAGAGGAGGCCTGGTCGACGACCGGGCCGCGGAGACGCTAAGCCCCGGAAGCACCTCAAGGTAAGGTCAAGCCTGAAGCAGTATTACTGGGAAATGTTTACACATCGCCTCGAACACTCGAGTTATGACTTGCCTTCTCTCTCTCTCCTTCTTGAATGTCAGGTCGTACTTCAACCTGTAATGCTGATGGATAATACAGGCACCACCACCCCACTCATCCCCAACACAGGTACCTCCACCTCCCCCAACACAGGCACCTCCACGTCCCCCAACACAGGCACCTCCCCCAACACAGGTACCTCCACCTCCCCCAACACAGGCACCTCCACCTTCCCCAACACAGGCACCTCCCCCAACACAGGCACCTCCACCTTCCCCAACACAGGCACCTCCCCCAACACAGGCACCTCCACCTTCCCCAACACAGGCACCTCCCCAACACAGGCACCTCCCCCCAACACAGGCACCTCCACGTCCCCCAACACAGGCACCTCCCCCCAACACAGGCACCTCCCCCAACACAGCACCTCCACCTTCCCCAACACAGGCACCTCCCCCAACACAGGCACCTCCCCCAACACAGGCACCTCCCCCAACACAGGCACCTCCCCCAACACAGGCACCTCCCCCAACACAGGCACCTCCCCCAACACAGGCACCTCCACCTTCCCCAACACAGGCACCTCCCCCAACACAGGCACCTCCACCTTCCCCAACACAGGCACCTCCCCCAACACAGGCACCTCCCCCAACACAGGCACCTCCACGTCCCCCAACACAGGCACCTCCCCCAACACAGGCACCTCCACCTTCCCCAACACAGGTACCTCCCCCAACACAGGCACCTCCCCCAACACAGGCCCTCCACGTCCCCCAACACAGGCACCTCCCCCAACACAGGCACCTCCACCTTCCCCAACACAGGCACCTCCAACTTCCCCAACACAGGCACCTCCCCCAACACAGGCACCTCCACGTCCCCCAACACATGCACCTCCCCCAACACAGGCACCTCCACCTTCCCCAACACAGGCACCTCCAACTTCCCCAAACACAGGCACCTCCCCCAACACAGGCACCTCCCCCAACACAGGCACCTCCACCTTCCCCAACACAGGCACCTCCACCTTCCCCAACACAGGCACCTCCCCCAACACAGGCACCTCCCCCAACACAGGCACCTCCACGTCCCCCAACACATGCACCTCCCCCAACACAGGCACCTCCCCCAACACAGGCACCTCCCCCAACACAGGCACCTCCACCTTCCCCAACACAGGCACCTCCCCCAACACAGGCACCTCCACCTTCCCCAATACAGGCAACTCCACGTCCCCCAACACAGGCACCTCCCCCAACACAGGCACCTCCACCTCCCCCAACACAGGCACCTCCACGTCCCCCAACACAGGCACCTCCCCCAACACAGGCACCTCCCCCAACACAGGCACCTCCACCTCCCCCAACACAGGTACTCCCCACCACCACCACCACTGCCCAGGTCTCCACACGCTCACATCTCGGCCTCCACCACAGGTGTCGGTGGAGGAGTGGTACTCGGCCTGGAAGGAGGACGAGACGGCTGGCAGGGAGTGGAGCCACATCTTCAGGGACCTCATGTTCCTCCTAGAGGACGCCTCAGGTGAGGGCTAGGGCCACGCTGGCAAGGATAGATGGATAAACCAGGGATAGAGGATAAAAACAACGAAGAAAAGCTTGATTGTTAATCTGTGAGTCAGATTGTGTGAGCGTAAAAGGGATTGAGTCTATATTTATATATATTTTTTCCTATAAATTTAATGTTTGACTAAGGTTGGAGTCCGTGTGCTTCTATCAAATTTATTGTAAAGAATGTTTTGCTTTTATACTGGTCAGTCAGGTAAATCCTTGTAAATCCATTAGGCAATAAAGTGCTGTATTGAAATTGGGGACAAAAATGCACTATATTCCCATTTATATCAGAGTCGACATCCAATTGCTTGACCTCGATAAGCCTTCAGCAACTCCTTTATTGATAGAAATATTATCGAATCGAGCCTAATTAGATATAATAATAATACTTCAAGTATTAGGCCTGGCTTGTATAAAATAGATCTATTTTTAGTTTCAAAGATAGATATAAAGTCGACTGAAATTGTTTAAATTAGCGTTGTCTTAGTTACCCATCCATATATTACTGTGTGTTGCAGGTGACGCCCACACTCATATATTACTGTGTGTTGCAGGTGACGCCCACACTCACATATTACTGTGTGTTGCAGGTGACGCCCTCACTCATATATTACTGTGTGTTGCAGGTGACGCCCACACTCATATATTACTGTGTGTTGCAGGTGACGCCCACACTCACATATTACTGTGTGTTGCAGGTGACGCCCACACTCATATATTACTGTGTGTTGCAGGTGACGCCCACACTCATATATCACTGTGTGTTGCAGGTGACGCCTACACTCACATATCACTGTGTGTTGCAGGTAACGCCCTCACTCATATATTACTGTGTGTTGCAGGTAACGCCCTCACTCATATATTACTGTGTGTTGCAGGTGACGGCCACACTCACATATCACTGTGTGTTGCAGGTGACGCCCTCACTCATATATCACTGTGTGTTGCAGGTGACGCCCACACTCATATATCACTGTGTGTTGCAGGTGACGCCCACACTCACATATCACTGTGTGTTGCAGGTGACGCCCACACTCATATATCACTGTGTGTTGCAGGTGACGCCCACACTCACATATCACTGTGTGTTGCAGGTGACGGCCACGTGGACATGGAGGAATACGTGGCGCTCTACACAGCGCTGGGGCTGGCAGCGCCTCAGTGTAGAGAAGCCTTCAGACGCGTCCAGAAGGTGTGTCGTGTCCTACTGTGAGGTGCATGCAAGTGAAGTGCTTGTGGATCATGGTTGGATAGTGTGTGTGATTTTTGTGGTGTGAGGATTGTATTATTATGCATTGAGGCTTGCATATGGGAGGTGTATGTTTTGCTGCGTGCGTTAGGTTGTATAGTGTGTCATGAGAGAGAGAGAGAAGAGAGAGAGAGAGAGAGAGAGGAGAGAGGAGAGAGAGAGAGAGAGAGAGAGAGAGAGAGAGAGAGAGAGGAGAGAGAGAGAGAGAGAGAGAGAGAGAGAGAGAGAGAGAGAGAGAGAGGAGAGAGAGAGAGAGAGAGAGAGAGAGAGAGAGAGAGAGAGAGAGAGAGAGAGAGAGAGAGAGAGAGAGAGAGAGAGAGAGAGAGAGAGAGAGAGAGAGAGAGAGAGAGAGAGAGAGAGAGAGAGAGAGAGAGAGAGAGAGAGAGAGAGAGAGAGAGAGAGAGAGAGAGAGAGAGAGAGAGAGAGAGAGAGAGAGAGAGAGAGAGAGAGAGAGAGAGAGAGAGAGAGAGAGAGAGAGAGAGAGAGAGAGAGAGAGAGAGAGAGAGAGAGAGAGAGAGAGAGAGAGAGAGAGAGAGAGACCAACCAATCAAATACCGTTACCATTCTCAGCGACAAGTCGTCACTTTTAAACAAAGCCTAATCTAAATCTTCTCCTGGTTTGAAGATCTGCGCTTAATGTCAGTTCCCCTCTTCTTCTTGTCATCACATCTTACTGCTACCGTTTCTTCTCCATTTGTTTCATCTTGCGCTTCAATCTCCGCTCTCTACTTGCAGGACGACGCCGGGGAAGTCACAAAGGAGAAGTTTGACGAATTGTGGGAGCAGTATTTCCACTCCGAGAACCACGAGGCCCCAGGCAACTACATCTTCGGAAAGTTTGACTTTTAGATCCATTGTTAGGCTGCGAGACGGAGAGAGAGAGAGAGAAAGAATCACGGCGCCCCAAACATCCTCAGTATCTCCCTAACCTCTTGGGATACCATCCTAGCTCACTGGAGCCCTCTGTAGAGTTTGGATCCTGCTGGTAGTGTCTCCTCATGGCTACTTCGTGTTGCTTTACTGGGTAATCTTAACTCTTGGGCCAAACTCTTAGATTTGTTATGACGCCCCTAAGAGCTGGGAAATATTCTAAATTAGGCTCTGGTTTGTTTGGTGGGGGCTCTACGGGGCTTCCCAGCTGCTGAGAGAAGTTGCTGGGGCCGCTAGGAGAGTTCTCTGAATGCTGAGTGACGCTGTGTTGTAAAATATAGCTATTAGCCCACGAGTACTTTATGCTACCTTGGCTACCAGGATCAGTTCTAATATTCTCTCCTTCTTACTGCCTGTAAGATGCCAGCCGCTGCTACTACGTCATGATGACTAGAAGGAATTAGCTTTATTTCTGACTTTTTCAACATTGACATATAACAAAAATTGTACACTAAGAACCAAAGTAGGTGTTTATTTTATATATATTTTTTTTGCGGGAAGAAATCGATTATTTTGAATGTCTGCAGCATTTCCCTAATTTATATAAAAACGGATTCAAACAAGTCCAACCTTGTTTAATTCAGTTTTCATATACAGTATTTGAATGTTGATTATTATCATCCACGTGTATGTTCATAGTTCCCATTTTCAGTCCCTTTTAATCTCTCCTCAACAATCTTAATGTTATCAGAATTATATTCAAGTGAACACCATCTTGGAAAGATACTGGAGCCTATTGACCAGATCTGGGTCATGAAGGGAAATTTTAACGGAATGTTTATCACAAGCGAATATCATCCCACTTGATAACACAAGGATTATTTACCCTTTTAGTCTGGGCTAAATGATTACAATATGACATTGTTGTCAATGTGGGTGTGTGTGTGTGGGTGTACTGTGGGTGTGTGGGTGTGGGTGTAGGGCGTATGTCTGATGTTTAACATTCCCAGGGCTTGTGCGGGGCGGGGATATCTTTGATTAATTCATATATATATATATATATATATATATATATATATATATATATATATATATATATATATATATATATATATATATATATATTACTCTTGTATGTTGACAAATAAGGCTTCTATATCTTTCTGATAGGTTTGTAATGGTCTCGCTTGCGCTTAGAAGCCCTTCTTAGCAAGGCTAATTGTATAAAATATTGTTAGTAATGTTTATGTTTTATGATTAATGCAAGAAAGCTGAGCCACGTAATAGCATTCATTAAATCATATTCAGATTCTCCTGTACAATTAGATGCAATTACATATAGTCAGAATCTGCCAACGGAATATTTTTTATAGAGATGCTAGCCATTTAAAAGCCTTTGGAACCTGTGTTGTCGTTTGATGACTAGTGTAAATATTGTCATGCAACACCACCTCTCTGGCAACACCCACTCGCTCATGCCAAACTTCTTTTAATTGTATGTTATATTTAATCTCTTGGTTTCAGAGGTGAGGAAAAGGGTTGACATGAAATTATTCATGTCAATCTGACTAATCTGTTATCCATCAATATTAATTTTAAAAGTAACAATTACAATTTAACTAGAAATAAGCGGTTTGGCAACCATTTAGTAGGCAACAGCTGGCGGCCAGTACACACACACACACACACACACACACACACACACACACACACACACACACACACACACACACACACACACACACACACACACACACACACACACACACACACCTTGGCCTAGTAAGCAAGAACCGACATTCTGAACCTGCAATTTTGTTATAAAATTGTTTTATGTAAATTTTATGCATATTATATTAACATATCTGTAATTATTGCATCAGTGACTTTAATATTTATCTGATTTATTTAAGCAGTAATGATCAACAATGAAGACCATCCGCAGACTAAGCTCGTTCAAGCGGCAGCCATCCCCCAAAGCTGCAGTCATCAATTTTTAACAGACTGCGGATTCAAAATTTTAATGGACCGCGAATTCAAAATTTTAACGGACTGCGGATTCAAAATTTTAACGGACTGCGAATTCAAAATTTTAACGAACTGCGAATTCAAAATTTTAACGGACTGCGGATTCAAAATTTTAACGGACTGCGAATTCAAAATTTTAACGGACTGCGAATTCAAAATTTTAACGGACTGCGGATTCAAAATTTATATTTTTTTCAAATTTACCCTAATATTATTATATAATAGAATGTGTTGAACAGTTAGGTCTAGTTTAGGATAGTTTTGGCGGATAGGTTATGTTGGTAATTATTGGTATTTGACGTACGTGGATGAGCAACCCGTCCTCGACTCAAGTCCATTACATCCAGCGGTCGACCCCACAGACGCATTCATAAATTTTAATATGCTGTTTATTCAAAACGGGAATTTTCTCAAGTATAAATTAATATTATAATATATTAGCATATTGTGCATATATAGGCATAGGTTAGGTTAGGTGTTTAGGTTCTGTTGGCGATTATTTGTATTTGTAGTACGTGGGTGAAGCATTTACAGCGTTGTGATTCGAACAAAATTCGTCAGTGAAACACTTGTTCCGGATATGTTCGAACATCAGCAGTTGTGAGTCGTGTGTAAACCGCTTTTCATTCATAAACAGAGGGTTTGGCGGGTGCATGGAATCACTTTTGGATCTTTGTTTGGAGGACGGGCTGTATACGCGTCTCCCAACAGATAAATTTCAAACATTTTCTCGAGGTTACTTCTGTTCGAACCACAACGCTGTAAATGCTTCACCCACGTACTACAAATACAAATAATCGCCAACAGAACCTAAACACCTAACCCTAACCAATGTCAAAATAATATGCTAATATATAATAATATTAATGTATATTTAAGAAAAGTCTTATTTAGAATGAACAGCATGTTAAAATTGATGAATACGCCCTTGGGGGGTCGGCCGCTGGATGGATTGAAGATACTCTGAAAACGGGTCGCTGGATTAACTGGCATTTGGCCAATGTTTTGATGATGAGGGGATGACTTAGATGAACTATTTACCGCGAGACACTTCGAACACACAAGATGAGCGAAGCACTGCTCGGTAATGTTCAAATGAAAAGTAGTAATCATACGCTTCACGTGTAAAGTATTTGACATTAACAGGCTTTTTATCCCACGTATAGAGGATATCCATGTTTTATTATACATCAAAATATCACCAGGCTCTTTTGTTTGTCAAGTAACTAAAGGTATATAGTCTATAGACTATATAGACTATAGACTATATAGACTATAGGTGCAAAACATCGCCCCAGTGTCCAGCCAGACTGTGTTGGTTGGCGCCTCACACCAAACACAAATTTCACCAATTATATCTTGAAATTAATTTGCTGTGTCACCAAGTACTATATATATATATATATATATATATATATATATATATATATATATATATATATATATATATATATATATATATATATATATATATATATATATATATATATATATATATATATATATATATATATATATATATATATATATTCTTGAATGTAAAATTAATATTGATGTATATTATAATTGTGTGTATAGTTAGACCTAGGGTAGAATAGGTTAGGTACTGTTGACAATTATAAAGGGTACAAGTTTTAACGAGTGACATAACCACTGCGTGCGGCTAACGAGGACTGCGTGAGATTAACGAGGACTGCGTGAGATTAACGAGGACTGCGTGAGATTAACGAGGACTGCGTGAGATTAACGAGGACTGCGTGAGATTAACGAGGACTGCGTGAGATTAACGAGAACTGCGTGAGATTAACGAGGACTGCGTGAGATTAACGAGGACTGCGGGAGAGCGAAGCCACCCCTCTCTCATGAAACAAAAGTCTCTATTCCCCACAGTTCACGATTCAACTAACTAAATGCCTCTGTATATTAGTGGGGCGGAGGATTTAGTCATTTTGGATGTGTGAAGTGTGTGTGTGTGAACAGAGTTCTGACCTAAGCTTATACACGACCTTATATGCTCCCAGTCCTTGCTTCCATCACCACACACACACACACCCACACACACACAACACACACACACACACACACACACACACACACACACACACACACACACACACACACACACACACACACAACACACACACACACACACACACACACACACACACACACACACACACACACACACACACACACACACACACACACACACACACATACACACACACACACACACACACATACACACATACACACATACACACACACACACACACACACACACACACACACACACACACACACACACACACACACACACACACACAAACAAACAATTGGTTCTATCGTTAGCAGCCTAATCTCATGACGTATTCTTAATTTGCTCTGGATGTGTATATTATAATTAGCACTGCTTATTATAAAAATTAACATTTGCAGATTATATGATTATAATTTACACTGCGGATTATATAATTAGAATTAACATTGCAGATTATATAACTATAATTAGTATTGGAAATGATAGAATTATATATATCCAGCTTAAGGCTCGTTCATCTCTTTATTTTTTTCATTGTCATTCATCAAGGAGACATTTAAGGTGAAGGTAGTGAGCCATTATAGGTCTTGTGAGCATGGACGGCACACCTGCTCATAACTGCCTCATCATACCTGCTCATAACTGCTTCAACACACCTGCTCATAATTGCTTCAACACACCTACTCATAACTCCTTCAACACACGGATCAGTGAACATTGGCGCTCATAAACTTGTTTTAATAGATGTAAACAAAGCCGCCATGATTTAGGAAAAGATGTAGATGTTTCGTACAGTGGTATGTACAGGAGAGATGGTTTTTTTTTTACCGCTGGTGTCACTGTGGCTTGTTGTTTTGAGTTTCTCACTTGTTATGTTTACATCTAGGTAGAGGTATTCTACGGTACTGTGTTATACAGAATATATCTTAGAGATACATGTACTAATGTTTACATATAGATATTCACACCCCTTTCCCTTCCCCCCCCCCACACACACTCCCCCCCCCCCTTTCCTGCCTTCATACCTACCTTCCTTCCTTCTTTATTTCCTTCATTTTCTTTCCTTTCTCCCTCCCTCTACCTACCTGCCTTTGCCCAACACACTAATTGTAGGAAATTCTCTCAAATAGCCAAATTTATATTTGGGCAAAATCCATAAGATACTATTCCAATATTTGTCCTAAATATTGGACTTAAAAAAAATATTAATGAAAAACTAGATATGCATCTCAATCCTATTTAAATATGAGAAATCACACATGTATATGTGTGTACCCTACAGTAATATTGGGTGGGATTGCTTGTTAGAAAGGACTGCTCAGATGTCATCTTTCTTTAGGCTCGTCTAGGCAGCTGGAATATTTGTTTGATATACAGTATATATATATATGTATATATATATATATATATATATATATATATATATATATATATATATATATATATATATATATATATATATATATATATATATAATATAATATAATATTTGGGATAGTTATGATTCACGATACAGACATAGTTATCCTTACATAGGCAAATTAATGCTGAATAATGCATAATGCAAGTGGAGATTTATTAACAGTCTACAACAGCACATGTTTAGCAATTGTCGGTCCCTGCAAATGAAATAGTAACCTGACAGCTGTTATAACTTTTTACCCTTGCTTTAATCTTAAATAAATTAAATAAATAGGGATTAGTAAAAGTGAATGGCTATTATCAGTAAATACCGTAATCATGCCAGAGAAATTGAATTGGTGGTAGCGTATCCCCTTGCGTGCCCCCCCACCCCCCCACCCCCGCCCGCCAGCTGGGAGTGTAAACACAACATGGGACGCGGTGGCCGAGGGGACGCTAGTCAACACACTAATTTGGATTTGATGATATTTTAGCCACGCCGGCCAGCTGAAATTGTCTACACCTATAAGACTATCCCTTCACACCCTGACAAGTGCATTGGAGTAGCGAGGGAAGTGTAATAAACCAGGATATAGGGCCATAGAAGACTTCTGGCCCCGGTCTACGCTTGAGAGTTACTAAGCTAAGTAGGGAAATTGTTTATCTTGGCCAGTTTAACTGTGTTCTTATTTAGCCTTTAAGAGAGAGAGCGGTTAGGAGGTGGGGGGGGGGGCGAGATCCCAGAACATAAGGTCGGTGCCTATTGTTTATTGTATGGGGGGTCCCGGTAGTACAGTCGGGTTCGTTCTCGACTGACAATCTAAAATCCCGGGTTTGAATCCCAGGCGGAACAGAAATGCTTGGGGTCATTTCCTATCACGTAATGCACCTGTTCACCTAGCAGTGAGTAGGTACTCAGGAGTTAGTCAGCTTGTGGGTGGGGTCAGTAATTGGACCTGGCAGGGGGGCGGAAAGTGACCTTAAGCCTAATGTGTATGAATACACTCTGGCTTCCTGTCTCCCAACAAAAAAAAATAATAATTATTGCTTCACCTGAATTGACCCGAGGGCCACTAACACTTAGTGCCCTCGACGAGCACAGGAAGCCGGCAGCTTGTCAAAGATCCCCCACATTTGTCTTGATGAAAACTACCCATGAAATAATTGTGTGTGAACCGATACCAGTAGCCTTGTTTAAGAGTGATACAAGTGGATATATTTAACACACACTACCAAAACTGTAGGGCTAGATCACTACTATCTTGAGGAGATATGTGAGTGGAAGGAGGTCTGGTCCGCAGAGCCGGGTACAAGGACTCGTTCACCTACTTCAACTCGGGATAAGTCAGCTAATTGAAATTCAAATCCTCATGCCTTTCCTTCCCATGGACACACCCATGCACAAACACCACCCTCCATTCACTCAACCAGCCCTCTTCTTTAAAAACACTCCCGTCTCCTTACATACACACAAGCTCCCCTCCCTTACAAAATTCACCCAGAACACCGCTCTCCTTACACCCCCTTCTCCCCATGCACATATATCCCCTCCACACACACACACACCTTTCATGGAAAAACAATTAATGAAAGTGAAGACAAAGTTCTTGCTCTACAACTGCGAGACGTCGCTTCAACTGTCAGTATCAGCCGCAACTTAATCAAGCTTTCGATTGAAATCCCTCGTCCAATTTATTTTTTAACTAAATGTTTGGTAAGAAATATTATTCTCATTCTAGTTAATAACTCTATTTGTTTTTTGGTTTGCTTAATATATTTTAATTGTTTAAAACTGAGTCAACTTTCATTACCTAGCTTGGCCTCTGTTGAGTTGTACTTGCAACACCTGTAGAGCAGATGTTAGTATCATAATGCAAGTTTTAAGTGTTCGTGGTTTGCTAATACGTAAAAAGATGTTCTTAACACATTAATAATAAGGAAAATGTATTACCTATGTAAGGGAGAGATCTAAATAAAAACTAAAGTACTATCATAAATGTATTTTAATTATAGTCCTTATATACTCTGTGTGTGTGTGTGTTTTATTTACCCAGCAGTAAACAAAAGGTGATGCAATTTAAGGTGATGCAAAAAAAAAAGTGTTGGGTGCCTGTTCAACACGGGCACAGGGTTGACCCACTGCATGGGTCACCCAAGTTGACCTGGTTTTTGGGTCAATCTGGTATGTGGGGTAGATCTGGTACCAGAGGGTGACCTGGTGCTTGGACTGATGAAAGTCCACTACTACCCCATCAGTCTCCCTGCAAAGTTTAGTGAGGCTAGCCCCAAGTGTCTGGCCTCCAACAAGGGACAAACAGACATCTTGTTTTATAGATACTGTATAGATCTATTAAAAAATGAATTAAGATCTTTTAAATTATATGACTGATACAAATTAAATTGAGTTTTGAAAATAGTTTTGAAAGACTGTCCGCACACTGGATATACAGTTAGTTGGTTATAATTTCCAATATAAGTTGTTCTTACTATGTTATTCAGTTGTTCTTACTATGAGAACAACCTGAGGAGCTCTGCGTGACTGACCAAGTCAGATATGACAGGTTCATGAAGTTTTAAAAATACAATCTACAGGTATATCTATAAGAGAAAATGTCCCTCTGTCTTTGTCCAAGGTTGGAGGTCAGATTTGTGGGGCTTGCATCACCAAACTTTGCAGGATGAATGGTCTTGGGTATGGAACAGACACAGACTGGTTGGGGTCAGTCCTATTAAGAAGTGGTTGGGCCCAATAGCCCCCGATACAATTTGTAAATATTCCAAGCCTACTACTTTATTTCGCTAAATACCAGACTCCACCCTCTCTAAGATTTATGAAGCATACTGCTTTTAATATGATTAAATGTTAGTGTATTTATGAAATTTAATAATTGATGGCAATGTATATTGAAGATAATTACAGCCACGGAGAGAAAATGGTGAAGAGTAAAGTAGAGAAGGTGAAGGTTCTTAAAGGTAGTTAAAAAATATCGTATTTTTTTTTTTTTTTTTTTGCAGGGATAAGTGTACATGGTAAATGATGAAGGGTGGGGAAGATGAGTGAAGTGAAGGGAAGGTGGTGAATGAGAATGATGGTGGTGAAGGGTAGCAAAGTTTATAAGGTTAAGAATGGGGAAAGTAATGAAGGGTAAGAAAAATGGTGAAGGGACATCCTGTCCTCTTGAATAATGCATTGCATTTTGATGTCAAATTCCTCAATAGACAAAATGTGATGTACTATAAATCATAGCAGCTCACAAACAACCACATTTTCTATGCGGCTTAGGTTCATCAGTTAGCTTCGGACAATTCGGTACATCTATTTTTTTTTTTTTTGAGATAAGTATATACAAGAGTTGTTACATTCTTGTACATTTGTTACATGACAATTTGAGAGGATGGACTGGAAAGAGAAGGAAGGTTGTAGATGGGGAATCCAGTGGTTCTCAGGTAATGATAATGGTTTCAGAGATGAAGACAGTATTTAGTGAAGTTCATAATGTAGACACTTAAGTGTTACAGGTTGTGTAGTGAAGATAGTGATGTGCAGCCCGTTCTCCTGAGTGTTTGCTGCATGATAACTGTTGTACTAAATTGTCTATACCTAACTTACCTGAGGACCCACAAACACTAAATGGGACGTCACATCAATTTCACGAGCTGCTACCAGTTTTATTTCATCAGTTTTTGGTCTTAGGAAAATTATACGTCAAAATGCGATGCAGTATTCAGGAGAACAGGTTGAGTTGTGAGTAGTTCAGGTGGTTCAAGTTCAAGTACGTTCAGTGAGACAATAAAATACATCTCAAAGGGATAGAGTAGCTTAGGCTATTTCTACCCCCTCAATTCAGGTGGTTACAGTGAGGAAGGTAGTGTGAAGTAAAGACAGCTAATTATGGTCATTTGTAGTAAATATGTAGTAATGATGATTGTGAAGTAAAGATGGTAAAAATAATGAAGATAGGTTGTAGTAAAGAATGTGGTGATGAAGGCAATGATCGTGACTTCAGTATTCAATTTTATATGTGTGTGTGGGGGGGGGGGGGGAAGAAAGGGTGAATAGGGAGAAAGACATGAGAAGGGGTGGGTGATTGGGAGAGGAGAAGAAAGAGTTGAGGGGAAGGGGGAACCCTTAGTACAGCTGTGTACCCTCCAAGTATTAAATAAACTTATTTCCATAGGTAAAATGTAGTACTGTATTAATAAACGAACATTTAGTCCTAGACAGATGCTCCTTTTAAATACAGAACCAGTGTATAACTTTTGAGAACCTGGAAAACTTATTCGGTTACTAGTGAGAGCTAGCAGCAGGAATACAGAGAACATATACGGCACGCATAGACGAGATAAAACACCTAAATTATTGGGATCGTCTCAAAGCTCTCCAAATGTACTCTCTAGAAAGGAGACGAGAGAGATACCAAATAATATACACATGGAAAATACTGGAGGGTCAGGTCCCAAATCTACACAGTAAAATAACAACGTACTGGAGTGAACGATATGGAAGAAAATGCAAGATTGAACCAGTGAAGAGCAGAGGTGCCATAGGCACAATCAGAGAGCACTGTATAAACATCAGGGGTCCGCGGTTGTTCAACGTCCTCCCAGCGAGCATAAGAAATATTGCCGGAACAACCGTGGACATCTTCAAGAGAAAACTGGACGGTTTTCTAAGAGAAGTTCCGGATCAGCCGGGCTGTGGTGGGTACGTGGCCCTGCGGGCCGCTCCAAGCAACAGCCTGGTGGACCAAACTCTCACAAGTCGAGCCTGGCCTCGGGCCGGGCTTGGGGAGTAGAAGAACTCCCAGAACCCCATCAACCAGGTATCAACCAGGTTATCATAACTGACCGAGCATCACATGGATAGTCAACCGCACCTCGTAATTGGTTAATTTAGTGAGCACTGTAGCTACTGCTGAGCACTGAGCTGAGTGGTTCGTGCCAGCTGCTGAGCACTGAGCTTAGTGGTTCGTGCCAGCTGCTGAGCACTGAGCTTAGTGATTCGTGCCAGCTGCTGAGCACTGAGCTGAGTAGTTCATGTTAGCTGCTGAGCGCTGAGCCGAGTCGTTTGTGACCATTGCTTGAGTCTTAACTTAAGTGCATTGGGCATGGCTTCTTGAAGTGTTCTTTACACAGGTTGGTGCAAAAAATAAAATGAATAAACTTAGGATATATGATATAAACAGGACAGGAAAATGTGAAGAATATAAATGGCAGGCAGAGTGGAAGGTTGTTCAGTGAAAATAAAAGTATTTTTGTTACTATATACTAGAGAGAGTTCTAAAGTACTGTATTCTATGGACATATTTAATACAATCTTGTATAAGAATCACCTCAGCATAAGACTATCAGGCACATCATAGAATATTGATTAAGTTTATCTATAAGTAAACTAGTATCAGCACAACTTGCTATCACCAGTGCCAGGAAAAGGGCCAATACTAAATTCTGATACTGATTCTAATTGATAATTGTTCTTCTATGGTGCAGAGTTTGCATCCTTCAACCTTTAAGCAAGCCAAACATTACTAAGAACACTCCTATAGAGTCATGGGATCACACAGAATAATATGCATATTCTAAGTAACATTTATTGAAAAATGTTTTTGTTAATATCATAATACAATACGGCAGCTACAAGAGAAATCAATGCTATTCTCTGTCATTAAAAGGGCGGACTCACTTGGAAAAAAACAAACAAATGTGATTCTATAAGGTCTAAGTCAATAGTTGATAATGTTGATGCACAGAAATGGGCTTATACCTAAGGAGGCAAACTTATAGCTACCTGGGTTGACTAAGACTTGGTTATAATCAAGGACAGTGCACGTTGCTGCACCTTGGGTGTCACGGGATGTATACTAGCCCCATACTCATGAACATTTTTTACATCAGATACCAAAAATTAGAGATATCAAGATTATTTACTTTGTTTTTGATGAAAATAATTACCTTTCATCCTTCAAGGTTAAATAATGACCGACTATTACTGTTGGAACAAAGCCTAACAATTATTTCCACTCCTTTAAATTAATGTTTAAACAATAGAGTTATTTATATATGAGACAGTCATTTACATCTCCCAAGGCAGCAGTAACATTCATAGCCCCATACTATGCTGCAGCCAATGTTTCATGCAACTAGATTAAAGGACCTAGTAGTCGCCAGGACTCGGGAGAACTATAGAGGTGTTAGGTTCTTAGATGACCAACTCACAAATACCCATTCACTAGAATTGGATGGTACAGCGACAGTCTCGCTTTTGCAGGTCGCTGTGCAATCACTATCTTAAGTGGTTGGGCACGATTCCTTTTCTCTATTCTAAATCCTTGTACTAGTGTTATAAGTAGTCATAATGGGTAGGTGCTTTCCCCTGATAATAACTTGCTTTACCAACCCCAAACATCTAAAAAATAAAGGAAGTGACAATGCTTCATTCCATCCTGGAACATTATTAAATCATGTGACCAAAATATCTAGCATAATAGCTTATGTCTATAGACATAGCATTAGGCAATTAAACTAGAAATAGTTAGGCTAGATATACAGCCAGGCTATCACTTCTTGTAACTTATTGTTTGCATATTCTAAGCTTTATTAACTATCATGATTCTAGTTGATTAAGATAAACCGTACTGTGCTGATTGCACAGATTACTGTACAGTACTGTGCAATTATCTCGCGTTTCTAAATCTCTTCGATTGCTTTAACATACATGTGGTTGTGTTATGTGGTGGTGATGTGTGGTTGTGGTGGTGTGCAGGAATATTGTGTGGTGGTGGTGTGAGGGAATGTTGTGTGGTGGTGATGTGAGGGGTTGTGTGGTGGTGGTGGTGGTGGTGTGTAAATTTAGGACCTCATATTAACTAATAGCATCAAAAACAGATCTTAGATAAGATAGTAAATCATTACAGTATCTGGAAAAAAAAAAGAATTTTAAGGTTGGGGTCCAGACATTTAGGGCTACCATCACCAAAATTTGCACGGTGACTGGCTTTGTCAGGGTATGGTCACAAGGGAGTGGGTTGGGGGGTCGAGCCCCCATTACCTTAATTGCATTAATTGGCAAATTATACCATATTTTATTCCCACTATAATGCCAGACTCTAGCTTCACTATAATTCATCCAGCATATTATTTTCTTTGTGATGAATATATGTTTGTTTTGTATAGTTTATTTATTGAAGATAACAGTATTTATGGAAGATGGTTACAATAATGAAAGGAAGGTGGTGAAGGGGGTTGGGAAAGTGGTGCACAGTGGCAGGGTAGAGAAGGTGGAGAAGGGTAGGGAAGGTGGTGGATCACAGGGAAGGTGTTGAAGAGTTTGGAAGATGGTGAAGAATAAGGAAGGCAGTGAAGGATAGGGAAGGTGGTGAAGGATATGGAAGGTGGCAAAGGAGAGATGTGGTGAAAGGGTAGGAATGGTGGTGCAACAGGTCGAAGGTGGTGAAGGAGTGGCAAGGCTATGAAAGATGAAGACAGTAGTAATGATGATGGTTGTAGATGGGGGTACTTGTCAGTGCCTGGGTTACAGTGAAGATAAATTCAGTGAGGACTATGGTTGTGATGGCTATAGTATTGTATTTTATATGTAGTGAAGATGATTACAGTGAAGATAGTACGTAATGAAGATGTGCCCTCCGTCACTCCTCTACAGTGCTGTATATCACTAAACTTGTTTCTTAATACACATACTGAATTTTATGATTCCTGTGATGCAGTTCAATGACTCACACATTAAATCTATTTTTTACTTCAATCTTAATCAACAAAAGTAGGACTACAGTCGCGTTATAACAGATATATCTCAAAGACAAACTAGCTCATATATGATTATTAAAACTACCATTGTCATAGTCTGAAATACTGCTTACATTAATTTTCATTGAGTTATATCTAAACTTTTAATGGGTTTATCTTCATATAGTTCTCCCGAGTTCTTGGCAATATTCACTTAACAAAGCCAACAAGTACCCAGTGCCTCCAACGAGGAGTCAAAAATTGAGTTCAACAACTCGCCATGACTTCAACCATAACCTCATCAAGGTGCTCCAGAGTAGCATCATGAGGAACTGGCTACTTAAACCATCAAAAATGCTTCTAGCAGCTGTGTGCTGCACGTGCAACACTGCGCGGCCCAAAGGCAATGCCTGCATAACCCAGGGTAACCATCTGTGTTTGTCAGTGGCAACACCTCCACCCGCTGTGGCAACACCTGCACACTGTGGCACACACTTCTCTGGCCCCTGGGCAACATCTGTTCAAACACCAGGCAACATATGTTCCATGGTCATATTTATGACTCAAGTTTAACACATGCATGACCTAAAAAACACACACATCGTAATGACATATACGATATGTGTGTGGCCCACACGTGCAGGACCTAACGACATATATCGTTATGACGTGTGTGTGGCCTGTAATGTTGCTCTGCTCATGTGTACAAATACCTTAGGAATACCTTATCACAGACGTTCCTCAGAACAACCACTCACACACTACATGGACGCAGGAATTTGAGCAAAATCTTGTTCAATTGAATGTGGATAACAGCTTTCAAACCAAATCACATGTAAATTTCTTTTCAAATTGCCCCAAAATGATTTAAAGGAGAATAAATATATTGAATACATTATTATACCAATATTTTGAAAACAATACTTCTACATGCTTGACAAAAAGATATAAAGATACAAAGATGAGCAAAATACATTACAAATACATGGGCTCATCACACACTGGAAGTACACTGAGTGCAGGGATGGTGTAGCTATTTAGCGACAGCCCTTAAAACGGGGCGAGAAAACCATAGTTCTCCCACAACACTGATTTGTACTCAAAATCAATTGAACAATTGACAGAATTCCTGATAAACTTAATTAGCTCTGACACAGTAGAGCATTGGGAGTGTTGAGATGTTAAACACGGTGGAGGCGATTGAGAGAGATTCTCCAGAAGTTCTCCTCAAAGTAAACAAATCAATTTGTACCTCTTGTTTATCCTCTCATGAGGCTTACCAGTAAACAGATGCATACAATAGATTATCACCCATGAAATTCCTAATGGCTTTTAAGTGTTATTGGAAAAATAGAACCTATGATAATCTTTAAAAGAACACGGAATTCAAAATTTGGTTGAAAGATGATATTCGACAGTACATTTATATATATATGGAATATTTTAAGAGAAAGGACATATTGAAAATGATATCTGAGGCCGAGTGCCGACATAAGGAGGAAATGTTGTATTGAACAAGGTCAGTGATAGTTGTTGTGAAACAAAAACTGCACAAAAACAAAAAGTTTCCATTATGTTATTGTTCTGAGTCAGAAGGGAAACATGGTAAGGAACAAATATTTGCAAGGATCACTGTACAGTCTTGGTTGACGTCTGCAATGAACACCAAATAACAAACATCTAAATAACAGTACAAAATAAGACCACTACTGAGACCATAAGTCTTCTCAGACACTAAAAGCTGGGTGTCACATAAAGAGTTTTCCCAAAACATTTAAATTACGAAAAAACCTTCATTGGGGCAAGTAATATTTCTCAAAAGTTTCATATTTTATAAATAAAGAAGATACTTCACTGAATCATAGACATGGATGTAAGCATAATATTTGGAGGAAGATTTTCTCGTGAGGAGCATTTCTGGCTCATGTCCTTCTCCCTAAATCATCAATGTTCTTCAACTCACTTTGCAGATCTCAATAATCAGAATCAAAATCCAGAGCTACATTGACCCGCAATCTATCTGGAGCCAGATTCTGACCTTAAAAATACAAGTGTTATTGTATTAATGGTAAATCATATGCTCCAATGTGGTCACCAGACTCTATGCAGTAAATTAAGATCTTTCCTGTAAACTATAATGCAAAGACTTACATTGTACAGAGTAATAATAGATTAATGAGGATATTTATTGCAGATATACAAATATTAAACAAGAGATTACAACTTTAAGGAGCATATATGTCTGCAAAAAAGTAATTGTTTGAATGCTACTCTATAAATACTGTACTAGATTATGTTGTGTGTTTCTTGTACTGTATGTGTATGCATGTTGTATAATATATATATATATATATATATATATATATATATATATATATATATATATATATATATATATATATATATATATATATATATATAAATAAATATATATATATAAATAAATAAAATTATTTATGAACTTTAACTCTTGAGAAACGGCTGAATATAAGCCATATTAGAAACAGGACCAAAACTGTCTATTTGTAAACATTTCATACATAATATCACTGGAAAAGCACTGAGAAGAACATAGTGCAATAAATGGAAGTCATAGATAACTGCAGTAAGGAGAGACTCGGTACACTGTATCTACTTTTAAACTAGAGAAAGACAAGCTTGCCAAAATACAAAGCAGTGATTCTATTCAGCCTTTGTATTCATTGTCTAAATGCTGAGGTGTGTTGCTGAGTCTGTCACTAGGTATACTGAATACTGATTGAAACATCTTTTAACGTGACACTGGTTAAAGTCACAATGTCATGTCCTGATAATCTCTCGTGCCTAGACACTAGGAGTCATCTGAATAACTGACATGAAACCTCAGGTCTATGGGAAACAGCTTATTTGTCTCCTTATAGTTTAAACATTATAAGAAATTAAATAAAAGGAAAAAAGAAGTCATACATTTCTGGCACAGTTGCACAGGTCGTTATCTCAGGGATGGACAGAGGCAATTTGATATTACAGTATCTCCACAAAACAACTTAGTGTCTAAAATAGGCAAATTTGCCTGTTACTTTCTCTTGTGAAATATTTTCTCCACATTCCCAGTGGGATGGTGATAGCTGTTTACCTAAAGCTTTAACATTACCAATCACCTCACCAACCTTCATAGAAAGAATACGCATTATACTCGAGACGTGTAAACAAGAACCAGAATGACACACATTTTGTGAATTTTGGGATACTTGTAATTAACCTTATTTATCATACTTGTATCTAATGACTTCTATATGTATCCTCACTGTAGATATTCTAATAGCTGTATGATTGAGTGTTAAACACTTAATACGTTCTACAATCAGCTGTGACATGTAAATTCTGCCTTGGAACACATAAATCAATCATACAGATGTCTCTTCATTCAAATATCACGGACTGTCTACAGGTTTGGCTTAGATAATGCCAAAACCATCTGGTATAGGTCAAACACAGAGGACAAATCAAATGCTAATTGCAGTTTGGGGCCAAAAATTGGAATCTGTCAATACGATGGTTAAATGACACAAATCGGTTGTTTAGTAATGATAAGTGAGGAAATGAACAGCACTCGTCTGTGCCGTTTAGGAAGACTTTATTAAGTTCCTTATTATGGTTCATAGAAAGATTATTATAGTAATTTAAATTTAAACTAAATGTAACTCAATCTTGTTATTTTAGTTTTAAGTGGTTAATGTTTCTGCTGATAGATATAATGAATCTCGGTGATTTTATTATAAATGCATTCCAGACTGACAAAAAGGCACAAGGCAAAAGTTCACTATATACACTGTGCAGATATTCTTTAGAACTCAGAACCAAATATATCAGAGACAAAACCAAAATATGTGCACGTTACATTTCATAAAAGCGAGTGCAGTATATGTTTGCAATCATTAAAAGCCTGCAAAGAAAATGTATTGTAGTTAATTTTATACAGTACTGTATTTATTATATCTTTTTAGATAATGTCTGTCCAACTTCTGATCAGCTGGCAATCAACAATTAAACCAACATTTTTAGCAACATACATGTGATGGGTTACATGTATAGTTTGAGTGCATGAAAAGTGCACACACACTAATCAGGAGCACAAGACTGCACACTTGTGGAATGAATAGCCAGAGCTCAGCCATAACTGTCTGGGGTATAATCCATGTAATACTCCCATACATGACATCACTTAATACGAAAACAATGTAACATTTATTTTATGCCTGCTAAAATTATTTGTTGTGCATATAATTGCTAAATAATAAGGAAAAGGATTACAATTACAGTTAAATTTAAATACTGAACAAACACACAAAATATTGAAATTTTTATAGCGACACAACTTGCATCATAGTTTTTTTTTTTTGGTATAATTATTTGTCGTAATATTGCAGATCAAATGAGAGTCTTGGTTTAACCTCTCAGGAGTCATGTGCAACTTGCATGCCACTACAGAATAACCATATTAGATTATGGCTACTTACCAGCTTGTGTTAGATCATGGCAACTTATCCCAAATGATTATGACTGCTCAAATGAGTTTCTAATCATGTAATAGCTCCGGATTATGATATTATTCAAGTAAGACATATTTTTAGATACAACGGTGTTAGAACATCATGTTTTCGTAAACTTTACACTATTTAAGTGCAGATTTAAAAGTAATTGTCATACCTGCTTATTGTCTTTTTGATCAAGTTACGTGTGGGAATAAACAATTAATATCAATTAACCATGTACATAAAGAGTAACTTAAAAGATTTTGTTACAAGAAAAGCTTGCATAAATAAATAAATGCAATTTGGAGTAGAGAGAACATCCAAAACGATGCAATGTAATTTTGTCTTTATCCAAACAGCACGAGCAAGAGGCTGTTCAGTCACCACATGTATGCGTCAGCTCGCAACCTGTAGTATGATTTGGTACAGAATGTGAATATAGTTGAGGTTTGGAACAGACTTTAAATGTAAACAAGGTTTGGTACAAAATGTAAATGTAAATAAGAATTATATAGTTCCTCCATTGATGCTATATTGCCTCCAGTGTTACTCGCAAGTAACACAACTGCAGCTTTATTATTAAAATAAATTAATTGTTTGTGCTCCAATTGCTACCTAAAATCTTGTGACAAGTTAAACAAAGCCAATCAATGCACTTGACTGTGTCAAGAACTATAAATCTGGTATTGAATCATATGTATTTCAAAAGCTGCTCGTTTGGTATTGGATAATATGTTCTCGAAAGCCATTAGTTTTGTAATGGATCATAAGTACTCAAAGCTTAGTCAACACTGGCAGTTATGTTCTTGCAATGGCAACATGCAGGTAAGAAAGCACCACTATGCAAAGGGCCTCCACTTTTCACCTTTACAAGTAAACATTTCAAAGTGGCAATAACAGTTCATAGACTTCACACCAAATTTTATTTTACAAAATGTATTTACTTTAAATAGTCTTTCCACTTCTGTTTTCCAGATCAATTCACATTTATTCTGTATAAAATTACTAAAATTCTAATACCATGAGTATTATATAATGTATTTCAAAATTACTGCATAGATATTAATTAATGAGATCTACATAGCTCATAACTTTACAAATACTGTACTGTACTTTTGAAAATCATCCCAAGGTCATCCAGCCATGATAGTTTAATTAAACAGATTGAGATACATTTTTATTTAAGTTTAATATAAAATGCCATTAACCCTTTCAAAGCAGCTGATGTTGAACGAAGCACTGAAGCTACTTTCTCTACTAATCAAATTACACTGATTAACTCGTTAACCCTTTCACAGCGGCTGACACTGAACGAAGCACTGTGGCTACAGAGTACAGATTTATTAACAAGAGAATCATTTTTACCAGTAACAAGTCCTGAAGCACTTCATTTCACTCACATAAGTACTATGTGATAATACAGCAGTAAATAGCAAGAATGCATCACAATATGTACACTGTAACATACTATTTGGGTGCCTTAGCAAAGAAATCTCAAAAGAATTTTGTACCTCGTAAAAAAATAAACTAAGTATGTATTAATTAACAGTGTCCAGGAATCCAGTATACAGAATTTGAATTGAATTGTAATTTTTCCACCCCTACACTGCAGATGTAAAAGTGTTGCTGGCTCTTGGCGGAATTTTTTTATTTTTATTACCTCTGTTAACATATAGAACAGGAATAATTTAAACCTTAAAGACGGAGGATGAAAACACTTATGATAGCCACGTTAAAGGACGCAGAACACATAAGTAATACCTGGAACAACTTCTTTCTGTACATACCGAGCACCCACGGAGGAAAGGAGGAAATACAAATTTATTAATATATTCACTAAAATCATATAACTAAATAAAAATGACTATACAGTAAAGATTTAAGAAAACAGTTCATAAGAGATGAACTTGTTTTTGTCAGAAATTTTGGCATTAAGTAGGAGCAAGTTGGCAACTACCAATTTCAACTTTATACTGTACATGTATTTGTAGGTTTAAATATTTTTCTGCACTTCCTAAAGTTTATTTTCATATTATGAAGCCCCAGAATAAGGAGAGGGTGGACAGGGTTTTCAAAATCAGCAGTGAAAGGGTTAAGGCAATAATAATAAGACAGTGAATGTATTTGTAAAGGGTTAATTTCAATGTCACAAATTAGCATGCCTCTTTTTATCAAAATATTTGAATGGACTCTGTCTTAGTGAAATTGATGAAGCTTGAAGAAAATATGACTAGACTGAGAAATGATGCTCACTGCCTTCCTGGAATTAGAACTATCATACAATGTGGAATACAACTGGGAAATGCAGCAAGGAAATTAAATACTTTTGAAATTAAACACTTAAATTTCAATTCCATTGGAATTTAACACTTCTTTTTTTAGAAATAATTTTTATAAAAAATAATTTGGTCATACAGTATTCAACTGGTTTAATTATTCATCAGTGAAAAAAAAAGACTATTTTTGTTGATAATATTTTTGCCATCTTATTCTGATCCTTGATTCTGCAGCTGGTTCTTGCCCTCATAACTTCCACCCCTGATTCAGCCTCCAGCTGGTTCACTGATCCATCACAGCTGGTTCACTGATCAATCATGGCTCACTCGGCGATCTATCACAGCTGGCTCACTGAGCCATCACAGCTGGTTCACTGATCCATCATAGCTGATTCACTGATCCATCACAGTTGGATCACCTAACAACATCACATCCATCCCTGACGTAAAGCCTCCCAACTACTTATCACTCTGAATCTTTCCTCATCTACCTTCGTCTGTTTAAAGTCTTTCTTGGTGTTCCCGGTGTGACTGTTCCTGGTATTCTGGGCTTTACCCCCACTGCACCACTACTTCCTCCGCCAGAACTGCCTCCTCCACCCACTGATCCTCCCGAGGCTACAAAAGGACTCTTCTCGTTTGAAGCTTTCTTGGCAACTGGGGAAACAAAGTATAATTAAGTAGCCGTATATTACACTGTTTCCTCCTTACATGAGCCGAGGAAGTATTGATGTACAGTATTACATAAGACATCATTGAAAGACAAAAACATACAGTGTCATAGAAAAACAAAATAACAAATAGCATCACAGATAAACAAGTATTCCCACACTACAGGAACCCATCTCTGTGTACTTTCATTCAAAGTTCACTGTCATTACAGGTATGGTACAGATAATCACATCAAACCGGGTGATGTTAAGGCAGGTGTTGTGATAAGTTCTCTGTACTATCCAGCAACCAAGTAGGTATAATATCCAAAAGCAGCATCGATTCAACACCTAGTCAACATAAATTCATCACCGAGTCAACGTTGATATCATTGATTTGACGTTGAACTGATGCCTCACTTGGATATTGTGCCCACTGGATGTGTTTTCTAAATTTTGGCACAGAAAACATGGATAATAGTTGCAGCATGATACTAGAGTGCTCAGTATCTTGCTGAAAGCTAATGAGCTTTTTGTTGTTTAATGAAGATATCAATGAAATATTATTTTTAAAGACAAAAGCTGTTAACAGATTATAATAACTCTTAAAAACTTAAACTCTTAGAGACTATTGAGACTTAACAATAGTGCATAATGTTATGTACTATGATAAATATTCTGTATAGTTAGCAGATACATTTACAAAGATATGTATTAATAAAATATGTATGAATGTACAGACATAAGTTGTTCTGAAAGTCTTTCATACAAGTGCCCTCCACTCGCAGGGCCTTGGAGGTATGCAGTGCAAGGCTGAGGAAAGGTCAAGTGCTCTCCACTCACCGGAGACTGCCAGAAACTGCCTTACACTGGAGCTATGAGGAGCTTAAAATGACGTAAGATGTTACTCTCCAATATGGTTACATTGACCGCAGCAATGGAGAATGTCCAAAGAAACTGATGAAGGTTTGCAAGATCAATAGTGACTAGGTGGCAATAATTCACTATGTTGGGGACAGGCAGCCAGTCTATGCATGTTAGGCTTATATCGAGGTTGTCCCCAGGGTTGAATTACTGACCCTTCCCTGGATGCAACCCCACAATACATGGCCAAACTCCTGTGTACCTATTTACTGCTAGGTGAACAGGTGCATTAAGTCATAGGAAACCCACCCAATCATTTCACTTCCACCCTAGATTCTAACTCGGAATTTCTAGTTACGAGTCAAGACTGAACCCAACAGTACTACTGGGACCCTGCTCAAGATATATAACTTAAGAGTTGAAACTCCTGAGTGCAAACACTCTCTGCTAAAGTCTCATTCAACACTGGAGCTCTCCTGATCACCCTATCCCTCAGCTAGGATATCAAAATGATAGAAAATATATATTCAACCCATGTAGCACCAAAGCCTCCATGGACTGCAATGCTCCATACTGTATCTATATTTTAGGGGTTATGAAATTTAGGAATAAATCTAACTACAGTACATGGGAATGTTTATTTGGTATGGCATTATAAGTTTTGCTACTGGGATAATATATATTTTTTGTAAATATGAAGGTCAAAACCGTTTTGATGCAGATATACTCAAGAGAGGTGTATCCTGTATCTCAGTGGCTATATACTGAGAGTTTACTTTCATCCTGGACAATGTTCAGGTCTAAATTATACTTGCTGGTAAACTATTGTGGTCCTAATATTCCTTCAGAGGTTGATATGGCCCTAAGCCCAACACCAAACCATATTTCGTTGACTGCATCCTTTACATATGGGCTTTGGTAGGGAATATATGCTGCTTTGCAATCTTGATTTTGTGCATCCAGATGTGCACTTTTTTTATCTTGTGCACTTCTAAAAATGTAAGATCTTCTCCACTAGCAGATTATCGAGTTGTAAACCAATAGACTTCCTTTTATGTATACAGTATTTAACAAGTAGGAAATAATTATCAATAAAGCACTAGGTCACCATAGCTATATAACACTGCAAATCACAGTTTAATGAATATATCCGAGACTTCCCTGAGCACACCTATAAATGAGCAGGACGACGTAACTATATCAAAGGAGTCTCATATACAAAGGATATTTACCAAGAGACATTTAAAGCAAATGGATATTTGGGAAAACAAGTTCCCTATCATTGTGAATATCAGGACATTGCACCAGGAGGTGCATGACTAACTGGAGTGAGAGAGATATTGCTGTATAATTAGATATCATAATACTATCTTATTGTAAAATATTTACATTAATATTATTTTGTTCTTTGAGCTTCCTAAACTGGACATCTGTTCTTCATATTTTTCAACGCCACATCACTCAAAATCCCGGGAGCACTAAAGTTAACAAATATCTTTACTGCAAGCGTCAAGACAGTGAGATCATTAGATGTTTCAAGTGCAAGTTAGACCGATATATAAATGAGGTGAGGTGGATATAAATAAGTGCTGCCTCGTGTGGGCCAACATGTGGCAGTTTCCTTATGTTCTTGTGTAGAAAACCAACCTTGTTGCCAAACTCTGAGATTGTTGGGACAAGAGTTGGGTCCAGGCATCAGATGCAGCCGCCAGCCGTCGTCCCACGGCGCGATGTTGTCATGACACAATGGACAGTGATTGGCGACCGGCTCAGGTTTATAAGCTGTTGATGATTAGCTGATGACAAGTTAATGTATATATGCCAAGTTAAAATATATGACAAGTTATGGTGCATGGCACGTTTAACTATATGGTAAATGGTATACATAATTAAGCTAGTAAAGTTATTGGACCCTACACCTTACATTATACAAGATCACCACCTGTTGTTCTTGTCGTATACTTTAACTTGTCACAGTCATGTTAACGTGCATAACAAGAACAGGCCAATAACAGCAGTTAGTGAGCCAATGCAAGGTGCAGAACGCAATAACTTCCTCATTGACCTACTCATATAGACTTTATATGAGTAGGTCAATAACGTACTCTATATATAGACTAATGAATACCTTAAATCTTCTAGTTTCATGGTCAAAAGATCAACTTTCAGGAGATTTGTTTAAGGAATTTTGCATGATAAGTGATGCTGTCCCATATATAAAATAAAACCACGTTTACATAAATGACCTTATCAAAGACTGTGGAAATGATTCAACAGGGAGGTGCCTCAAGTATATTAAATGGAGTTAAAAAGTGGAGCTACAAGTCTTAAGAGGAAGATGGAAGTAACTTACGTATACAAGACTTGGCTAAAGCATGATTGTGGAAGGTCTTCTTGGGAATGGCTTCACTACAACGCTCACAGCGTCGGTACTCCGATGACGCCACGCACTCTCCTGTAACACAGGTCATATATTGTGCTATACAGTATTGCCAACTACTTTCTACCAAAATCATCTCTTAGATCTTGCTTTCAATAGTGGGATGTGACTTTGGGGTGTGTGTCTGTTGGGGATAGGATGCTATTGTCTGTCAATGTTCTCCCAGCTATGAGTTAGGTTGTTAGTTATGAGGAGAAAGCACCAAGCCAGTATAAATATATTACACTTGAGTTATGGAATTATGTGGACAATCATTCAGTTACCGGCCAAATCTAATAGTGGTTTATTTGAATGATTAACTGCACTTGCCCACAATCTCCTCACCCACCTAACCACTTTTAGATACCTACTGTCCACCCCTTCCCTGCAAGTGGGCAATGGGAACATCACCCATTTCCAGTGAAAATTACCCACCCATTATGAGTTTCCCCACTGCCACAGCTGGCCTATTCTCTCCCAGCTACCACACACCCCTAGTTACTAACTCCCCCCCTCACTTAACCACCACTCTCAGTTTAGATTTAGGGAAGACCAGGGTAAATACTGGTTTGGAAACTCGGTTGTTGATTTATGGGGTCAATAGATTGTTGAATGCATAGGGTGGACATATGAAAGAGTAATCACAAAAACACATCATTCAATTATTCATATATATCTATATAGGGAAGAAAAATGAATATAATCCGAGTGCTGTTGTGTATTAACACATTTCAAGGAATGGGGTAAACTTGAAAATGTGCTACAGTAGTACACGAAAGCACCTAGATTATTTTCCACACAAACAAGTTGCCACGTATGTGGCCAATACCTTCTGCAGATTCTTAAATTCTTATGTTCTCATTTATCTATATAATTTTTTGTCCACGGGTAGTAATTTTCTAATTGCTTTTCTGTCAAATAAAGAAAATGGCTATCAATCCCCTCAAACTTTGCTTTGATCTTTGTTTTAGACATCTTGGGGAAAATGACTTGGAGATTAGTTGAAAGTTGCCGACTTATCTACAGCTCTGAAAATATGTTTTAGTTGTAGATAGGCAGTGAGGTGGAACGTACCGAGGTGGTGCTGGTGAGGGAGGTGACCTCAACCACCTGACAATAAGGAATGTACTGAGGAGGTGCTGGGTGCAGGAAGCACCTTACTGGACAACAAGGAATTTACCAAGGTGGTGGCGGGTGCGGGAGTAGACCACCTGGACATCAAGGAACGTACCGAGGAGGTGCTGGGTAAGGGAGGCGACCTCGACCACCTGGCGGCAGTGGTTGCACCTGGTCAACATGGGACACGACCGCCAGTAGTGCATGTCCAGCCCAGTGTCCGTGAAGCTCTTGTCGAAGGCCCCACAGAATATGCATGTCCTGTGGAGAAAAAGTCCAGTTAATAAAAAAAATAGTGTTAATGGGTTGATGGAAACTGCTCATGAATGCCACAGGAAGCAGAGAGTTAGAGTGAGAGGGTGTGACCTCAAACTAGCGTGATGTCACCAACAGAGTCCCACAGGGTTCTGTACTCGGCCCTATCTTGTTTCTGATATATGTGAATGATCTTCCAGAAGTTATAGACTCATTACTCTCAATGTTTGCTGATGATCCTAAAATTATGAGAAGGATTACGACAGAGGAGGACTGCAAGAGACTACAGGATCACCTGGACAGGCTGAAGGAATGGTCCAACAAATGGCTACTAGTTTTAACTCAAGCACGTGCAAAGTGTTGAAGATAGGCATATAGAGCAGGAGGCCAAACACAAGGTACCAGCTGGGAGAGGAAATCTTTCAGGAGTCGGGAAGAGAGAAAGATCTGGGGGTTAATATCACACCAGACCTGTTCCCTGAAGCCCAGATCAAAAGGATAACATCAGTGACGTATGCAAGACTGGTAAACATAAGAACTGCCTTCAGAAACTTGTGTAAGGAATCATTCAGAACCTTGTATACCTCATATGTCGGATCAGTACTGGAATATACGGCACCAGCTAGAAGTCCACATCTAGTCAAATACAAAACCATGTTAGAAAATTTTCAGAAGTATGCCATCAGGATAGACCCTGAGCTGAAAGATATGAGCTACGAGGAAATACTGCTGGAACTGAACCTCACGACACCCAACCCGTCCTCGACTCAAGTCCATTACATCCAGCGGTCGACCCCACAGACGCATTCATAAATTTTAATATGCTGTTCATTCAAAACGGGAAATTTCTCAAGTATAAATTAATATTATAATATATTAGCATATTGTGCATATATAGGCATAGGTTAGGTTAGGTGTTTAGGTTCTGTTGGCGATTATTTGTATTTGTAGTACGTGGGTGAAGCATTTATAGCGTTGTGATTCGAACAAAATTCGTCAGTGAAGCACTTGTTCCGGATATGTTCGAACGTCAGCAGTTGTGAGTCGTGTGTAAACCGCTTTTCATTCATAAACAGGGGGTTTGGCGGGTGCATGGAATCACTTTTGGATCTTTGTTTGGAGGACGGGCTGCGACACCGGAAGATAGAAGAGTTAGGGGAGACATGATTGCTATAAAAGTCTCAGAGGAATTGACAGGGTAGATAAAGATAAACTGTTTAACACTGGTGGTAGGCAAACTAGAAGACACGGGTGAAAACTGAGTACCCAAATGAGTCACTGGGACGTTAGAACAACAGTTTCAGAGTAGTTAACAGATGGAATGCGATGGAATGCAGTGATGTGGTGGAGGCTGACTCCATACACAGTTTCAAATGTAGATATGATAGAGCCCAGTAGGCTCAGGAACCTGTACACCAGTTGATTGACAGCTGAGAGGCGGGAAAAAAGAGCAAAAGCTTAACCCCCGCAATCACAACTAGATGAGTACCTGTCAAGTAGATGAAATCATTATTAGCGAATAAAATCTCCAAATGAAAGCTAATTAAAATATATGTAAAAAGTATACATACTATTTAAAACCAGAAATTTGTATGTTACCTATTAATATAACACAACAAAATTAAATTTGATTTAAAAACAAAACTCGCGATGCGACATTATTAAAACTTAGTCTTTTCAGATCAAATAAAATAAATTGTATCTACTGATATAGTAAAAGTTACTTTGGCTATATATATATATATCTTTAAATAGAAATCAAAGATGAAAGAAAATGAATAAATTTAATTAAAATTTAATTAAAAATTAAGAAAATTAATAAATTCAGGAAATAATAGTGCATCAAATTACTTTTTCCCTATACATTATATAAAGTACACTATATATAGTGTATACATGGTAGAATATAGTATATATATAATATATACAGTATACAACATAAGATACAGAATGCCATTCCCAAAATACATTATACAGTGCATTCGATATTATGTAATTTTAAAAAGTCCAGTATACATTTCATAAAATATTCAATAAAATACAGCATATCATATCCAAAATATATATAAGATACAGCACTGAATATGCAGTATTGTATATTCAGTAGTGTATCTAATGCATACAAAACTGTTAAAGTTCTTTTATACATAGTATTTGATATTTTATAATATTATATATTTTATAAAATTAAGATAACTGACAGCATGGCAATCTGAAAATAAACTTTGAAAACAAAATAATTAAAGGAAAACTGAATTTTTATATATGTAATACATGACCTAAGTCATGACCTAATACATGACCTAAGTCATGACCTAATACATGACCTAAGTCATGACCTAATACATGACCTAAGTCATGACCTAATACATGACCTAAGTCATGACCTAATACATGACCTAAGTCATGACCTAATACATGACCTAAGTCATGACCTAATACATGACCTAAGTCATGACCTAATACATGACCTAAGTCATGACCTAATACATGACCTAAGTCATGACCTAATACATGACCTAAGTCATGACCTAATACATGACCTAAGTCATGACCTAATACATGATCTAAGTCATGACCTAATACATGACCTAAGTCATGACCTAATACATGACCTAAGTCATGACCTAATACATGACCTAAGTCATGACCTAATACATGACCTAAGTCATGACCTAATACATGATCTAAGTCATGACCTAATACATGACCTAAGTCATGACCTAATACATGATCTAAGTCATGACCTAATACATGACCTAAGTCATGACCTAATACATGACCTAAGTCATGACCTAATACATGACCTAAGTCATGACCTAATACATGACCTAAGTCATGACCTAATACATGACCTAAGTCATGACCTAATACATGACCTAAGTCATGACCTAATACATGACCTAAGTCATGACCTAATACATGACCTAAGTCATGACCTAATACATGACCTAAGTCATGACCTAATACATGACCTAAGTCATGACCTAATACATGACCTAAGTCATGATCTAAGTCATGACCTAATACATGACCTAAGTCATGACCTAATACATGACCTAAGTCATGACCTAATACATGACCTAAGTCATGACCTAATACATGACCTAAGTCATGACCTAATACATGATCTAAGTCATGACCTAATACATGACCTAAGTCATGACCTAATACATGATCTAAGTCATGACCTAATACATGACCTAAGTCATGACCTAATACATGACCTAAGTCATGACCTACGATATACTGACGGGTAATATTTTACTTCTTAAAGGATATTACCAGGGTGTGTGTGTGTGTGTGTGTGTGTGTGTGTGTGTGTGTGTGTGTGTGTGTGTGTGTGTGTGTGTGTGTGTGTGTGTGTGTGTGTGTGTGTGTGTGTGTGTGTGTGTGTGTGTGTGTGTGTGTGTATGTGTGTGTGTGTGTGTGTGTGTGTGTGTGTGTGAGCTAGAGGCCAGCTTAGGTCACATGACCATTATGTAGTAGGCATGTGACCTAAGCTGGGCTTAGGTCACACTATAATACTATAATCTGTGGGCACTATAAGCACTAAATTATAGTGCCCTACAAACTATACTAAGTATTCTCTATCACTACCACTTGTATGCTTATGATAATGTTAATAATAATAATAATTCATTGTGTCAGGGGACAGGAAGCCAAGGTATATTCATACAGGAAGCCAAGGTATATTCATACACATTTGGACTCTTATCAAGGTCAAAGCGATAAACCCTTACACACTCCTCCACCAGCCCCCAGACTCCCTGTCTCACATTGTATGTTATTGTCAAATGGTGTTGAAGAGCGTGATGGGGAAGCAGAGTGGCGAGTATTGATCAACAGGCCTCGAACCATTCATCGTGCACTGACAGCCGGGGCGTCGACCCATGACAACCTTACATTTTAAAACACCATTATTCACTTGGCAACACGAGTGAAGGAGAGAGGGAGAGAGAGAGAGAGAGAGAGAGAGAGAGGAAGAGAAGTTCAGCATCTTAAAATTAATGTAATTATAGTAAACTATTTGGTGGAAAGTGTCCATTTGTGGTGATGGGCCACCCGTAAACCACTTTCTTTACTATTCATTTGATAATCCAGAAAATAAAGCTTAAAAACCAAATTAATATTCCTAGGCCTAGTATAGCCCATATAAGTTCCCATATTTGGTCTAAGAATGCATTTATTAGGCCTAGATGTGTGTGTGTGAGGAGAGACTAAAATCAGTTAGGAATTAAATTTATCTTTTGGTATAATAATAACTATTTGGTACTTTCAATTAAATAAATAAATACTTTCATGTCAGGAAGATGGGCGGGGAATAGAAGTAGACAGATAGAGGAGACAGACACGACCACCACCACATAGCAGTGAAGACCTCAGCAAGCTGACCAGCTCACCTGTCCTCGGGGTCCAGCGGGGAGAGGTCGCCACCGTCCACGCTGGTGAGGTCGAGCCGCGACCCGTTGAGTCTGGACAGTTCCCGCCCCCGCACCTCTGCCTCGTCCGGAGTAATGCTGATCTGTGGCACGCCCCCAGTGCACCCCATGCCGCCGGGGGGGTCGCGGTGGGGGTCGTGACCCGCGAAGGACAGGTCGAGGCCTGCGTAGGGTAGGTCAGGGCCGGCGCTGCTGCCGCCGGTGCTGACCCCACTGCTGCTGCAGCTGCTGGAGCTGATTATGGGAGGGGGAACTATGTTGTCATGATGATACTGATGAATGGGGGGACAAGATGTAAGGGATCAATGGTGGGGATCGACAAGTAGGGGTGAGTAATGGGGGGGGGGACAGGTTGAAGTGGCTAATGGGGACGGGAAGACGTAATTAATGGGGGCAGGTAAAATACACGAAGGTGAGGAATGTTGCACTAATAAATGGGATTAAATGCATAATTGATAACACAAGAAAAAATACAATATTATATTGTTAATTCCATTTTATTGTAATAAATTAATTCATATGCCAATGTTTTATACACACGCACATATACGCACTCGCACACACATACAAACACCTATAATTATACTCAATTAGGTAGTAAATTGTCCCCTTGAGGAAACGTAGACTTTACCACTAGTTTGCTGTATGTAAATCTCGTCTCCTGCCTATGTAGAGTCAGAGAGGACACGTGAATCGAGGTGGTAAAATATTTCTGCTGTATTTAAGTATCTCTGCTGTATTTTGGGAGCTTGAATAGTAAGGTAAAACTTCAGCTGTAGTTTCCATCACTCGCGTGGTCCAGGGTTAGGTGACTAGACAGCAGTCCTTTCATAAGTCCTTATTTATTTGGGGAAGTTTCCTTGGGGGTCGAGCCTATCCTAAGCCCATTAGGTGGAACGTCTTTACCTTGATTTTGACCCCAACTCAGCCCCCACGATATAACAAGAGGCCAGACATGCACGGACTATGTAGCGGGAAGTAGACGAACACAGGGAGACCGATGGAACGAAGTATGCAAATGAGCTACAGAGACATCAGACAGAATTGTGTCAGTAATTGAGCAGTGAACAATTGTCATGCGCTCAGAAGTGAAGTGGTGGAGGCAGACTCCATATGTAGATATGGAGTCTTTAAAGTACATTTGTAGTTTAAAGTACATTTAAAGCTACATTTGTAGCTTTAAATGTAGATATGATAGAGCCCATATAGGCTCTGGAACCTGTACAACAGTTCGTAATGTGTCCAGAGACATATAATGTGTCCAGAGACACACAATGTGTCCAAACACACACAATGTGTCCAGAGACACACAATGTGTCCAGACACAATGTGTCCAGATATAAGAGCAGGAAAAACTAACTTAAAATATATTAAAGAAATTCTATTCTTTAAGGAGAGCTTCTAATGAGATCTAATTTAAGGGGATCTATGAGCACGTAATTTACAGTCATCTTGCAAATCTGGTTATTTAAAAAGAGCGGATACAATGTAATAGCGGAACAATGTAATTTTGGTAATTACGGTCAGGTTTTCACTGTCTCAAATAACCTTGCATCACCCTAGAGCGACTTGTGCACAAACAGGCTATATCTTGAGGTTATCTTGAGATGATTTCGGGGCTTTTAATGTCCCCGCGGCCCGGTCCTTGACCAGGCCTCCAACCCCAGGAGCCAGCTGTTAGTCAGCTGTCAGTTACCTGTGGCAGGTGGCTACCGTTACCTGTGGCAGGTGGCTACCGTTACCTGTGGCAGGTGGCTACCGTTACCTGTGGCAGGTGGCTACCGTTACCTTTGGCAGGAGGCTACCGTTACCTGTGGCAGGTGGCTACCGTTACCTGTGACAGGTGGCTATACCGTTACCTGTGGCAGGTGGCTACCGTTACCTGTGGCAGGTGGCTACCGTTACCTGTGGCAGGTGGCTACGGTTACCTGTGGCAGGTGGCTACGGTTACCTGTGGCAGGTAGCTACCGTTACCTGTGGCAGGTGGCTACCGTTACCTGTGGCAGGTGGCTACCGTTACCTGTGGCAGGTGGCTACCGTTACCTGTGGCAGGTGGCTACCGTTACCTGTGGCAGGTGGCTACCGTTACCTGTGGCAGGTGGCTACCGTTACCTGTGACAGGTGGCTATACCGTTACGTGTGGCAGGTGGCCACCGTTACCTGTGGCAGGTGGCTATACCGTTACCTGTGGCAGGTGGCTACCGTTACCTGTGGCAGGTGGCTACCGTTACCTGTGGCAGGTGGCTACCGTTACCTGTGGCAGGTGGCTACCGTTACCTGTGGCAGGTGGCTACCGTTACCTGTGGCAGGTGGCTACCGTTACCTGTGGCAGGTGGCTATACCGTTACCTGTGGCAGGTAGCTACCGTTACCTGTGGCAGGTGGCTACCGTTACCTGTGGCAGGTGGCTACCGTTACCTGTGGCAGTGGCTATACCGTTACCTGTGGCAGGTTGAGCTACCGTTACCTGTGGCTGGTGGTTACCGTTACCTGTGGCAGGTGGCTACCGTTACCTGTGTCAGGTGGCTACCGTTACCTGTGGCAGGTGGCTACCGTTACCTGTGGTAAGTGGCAACCGTTACCTATGGCAAGTAGCTACCGTTACCTGTGGCAGGTGGCTATACCGTTACCTGTGGCAGGTGGCTACCGTTACCTGTGGCAGGTGGTTACCGTTACCTGTGGCAGGTGGCTATACCGTTACCTGTGGCAGGTGGCTACCGTTACCTGTGGCAGGTGGCTATACCGTTACCTGTAACAGGTGGCTACCGTTACCTGTGGCAGGTGGCTATACCGTTACCTGTAACAGGTGGCTACCGTTACCTGTGGCAGGTGGCTATACCGTTACCTGTAACAGGTGGCTACCGTTACCTGTGGCAGGTGGCTATACCGTTACCTGTAACAGGTGGCTACCGTTACCTGTGGCAGGTGGCTATACCGTTACCTGTAACAGGTGGCTACCGTTACCTGTGGCAGGTGGCTATACCGTTACCTGTGGCTATACCAGGCAGATGGCTACCGTTACCTGTGGCACACACACACACACACACACACACACACACACACACACACACACACACACACACACATGTATAATACTGTATGTATACAAAGCTGTGAACAATGTACTAATAACTAACATAAAAATATATAAAATACATGATAATAATTCACATATATATCATTAGTATGTATTGAGTGGTGTGACGGTCGTGGAGGGTGTGACGTCCCTTTAGGGGGTGTGACGCCCCTGGAGTAGTGGGTGTGACGCCCCTGTAGTGGTGGGTGTGACGCCCCTGTAGTGGTGGGTGTGACGCCCCTGTAGTGGTGGGTGTGACGCCCCTGTAGTAGGGGTGTGACGCCCCTGGAGTAGTGGGTGTGACGCCCCTGTAGTGGTGGGTGTGACGCCCCTGTAGTGGTGGGTGTGACGCCCCTGTAGTGGTGGGTGTGACGCCCCTGTAGTGGTGGGTGTGACGCCCTTGTAGTGGTGGGTGTGACGCCCTTGTAGTGGTGGGTGTGACGCCCTTGTAGTGGTGGGTGTGACGCCCCTGGAGTAGTGGGTGTGACGCCCCTGGAGTAG